AGAAACCCTGTCTCGAAAAACCAGAAAAAAAAAAAAAAGAAAAGAAAGAAAAGAAAAATGCCGGGCAGTGATACTGAATGCCTTTAATCCCAGCACTCGGGAGGCAGAGGCAGGTAGATCTCTGTGAGGGCCAGCCTGGTCTACAAGAGCTAGTTTTAGGACAGTTTCCAAAACCACAGAGAAATCCTGCAGGATTGCTGAATCCCAAGGTGTCTCAGCCTCTTATGCATAGGGGATGCCCCCACCCTTCCTCTGAGACAGGATCTCATCACATAGTTCACGATGGCCTGCAACTTGTTATGTACTTGAACTTCTTTCTGTTCCTGTGGTCTCCAACTTCTTGGTGCTGGGTTACAGCCCTGTGCCAGGATACCTGGTACTGTGGATTGAACCCAGGGCCTTGTACATGGTCAGCAAGCACCCTACCAACTAAGCTATACCCCCAGTCTTGCTCTTGATTTTTTCATGCTGAAGAATTTTATTAAGATCCTGGGATTATACAGTATTTATTTAGCCAATCATTTACTTATTTATTTGACAAATAGCATATGCTTGTTAATGGATTAGGCATTGTGTTAGACATTGTAGATACGTTGTAAATAAAAGATACATGACTTCTCTCTCCCCCTAGCTTTCATAGTAGCAGGAGGTGCTTGCTGTGCAAGCTGTTTGTGGGGGGGGGCAATCAGTAGCCCTACCTAGTGGGGACACCTCTGACCTACAACAATGACCAGCGTGGTAAGAAGTTCCAAAAGGTGCAATTGTAGTACTCATATCTTACTCATATTTTGGTGGTAAGCAACAGAAGTCTGATGGGATTTAAGGTCCACTCAACAAGAGGGAAATCATGCTGGGTACTGGAAACCTACCCATTTGCCTGGCACTAATGAGTTCATGGATCTTAATGGAGATGTGGTGATATATTATTTATGATTTATTAAAGCTTGCCTGAGAATTCAGAAAGCAAAGTCAGCCTCAAGCTATAGAGATCAGGCAGCGATGGTACACACCTTTAATCCCAGCAGCCAGAAGCTAGGCGGTGGTGGTACTCACCTTTAATCCTAGGACTCAGGATTAAGAGATAGATAATCTCTATGAGTCCAAGGCCACCCAGATCTACACAAGATTGATCCAGTACTAAAGAGAAACAGCACCTGGGATCACATTCCTTTAATTCCAGCACTAGAGTTGTATAAAAGATAGGAGCAGCGTCTTCAGTAGTCAGTCTCAGGGATTCATTCTCCACCCACACTGAGGATAGGAAGACACTGACGTCTCAGGACTCTCCAGCCACACTGAAGAAAGGCTTCAGTCTGAGGTTTGGTGGAGCCAGGATCTCCTTTCAGTCTGAGGTAGAGTAAGAACTAGTGATCAGCTGCTTTGCTTTTCTGATCTTCAGTTTGAAGCTTGAACCCCAATATCAGTCTCTGGGTCTTGCAACAGGAGATCATGATATCTCCACATTATTAGACTAGAATAATTTCAAATTTCATTCTAAATGCTAATCCTAATCCTTATATCCACAGATGAATGTAGTGCTCACTCCTCATTAAAGAAGTTGTTCTTGGGGGCTGGAGAGATGGCTCAGTGGTTAAGAACACTAGTTGGTCTTCCAGAGGTCCTGAGTTCAATTCTCAGATACCATATGATGGCTTACAACCATCTGTAATGAGATCTGGCGCCCTTTTCTGGCCTGCAGGCATACATGTAGACAGAACACTGTACATAATAAATAAATCTTAATCACAATAAAAAAAGAAGCTGCCTCTTGAGGCTGACAGAGACCACCACAGAAAACCACAAATGGTCAAAATACAAAGAACTGATGCTGGTGTCCAGCCCTGAGGGATACAACTACAACATACCTCCTTACCCCAGACTCAGGGAACATTTCAGAAGACAGGATAGGGAGATCATAAGATCCAGAGGAACAGTGAGATTACATCTCTTAGAAATGACAGAGAAGCTACATCCATGATTCCTCAATAATATGTCTGTCTAAACAAGACCCAATAAATGACAACATTAGCAGACATACTGACATGGAAGGGAGAAATCTTAAGGGGCTCCATTCATAGACAATACTGAGAAGAAGAATTAATCTTCCTGAGATGAGCAGTGAACTGATTATATAATACCAATTTGTTGGTCCTGAAATCCTGTGCATACAAACAATAAACAGACTTAGCTAGTTGTATTTATAATTTATGCATATATATGCAATAGTGATAATCAAAGAAAAGTGCCATGAATTTGAGAGGAAGGGAGGGAAGGTGTGGAAGGGGCTTGAAGGAAAAGGGAATGCCATAATTAAAATTTGAAAACAACACTCTCCCAAAAGATATATGTCTTCTGACCTCATTTGTCAACTGGGAGAGAGTAGGAGGATAATACAAATGCAAATATACTATTAAAATGGAGTTTGAGCTGGGTGGTGGAAGCGTCTCATGTCTTTACTCTCAGCACTCAGGAAAGCAGAGGCAGGCAGATCTTTGTAAGTTCGAAGCCAGCCTGGTCTATAGAGTGACTTCTAGGACAGCTGGTCCTACATAGTGAAACCTTGTCTTGTAAAGCCAAAAACCAAACAAGTAAAAATGATAAAAAAAAAAAAAAATGGCCGGGCGTTGGTGGCGCACGCCTTTAATCCCAGCACTCGGGAGGCAGAGGCAGGCGGATCACTGTGAGTTCGAGACCAGCCTGGACTACCAAGCGAGTTCCAGGACAGCCTCCAAAGCCACAGAGAAACCCTGTCTCGAAAAACCAAAAAAAAAAAAAAAAAAAAAAAAAAAAATGGAGTTTGAGGAACGGCATGACAGAACATGAGATTTATTGGTCATCTTTGCATCACTACAATCAAATACCTGAGGCAACTAACTTACAGACAGAAGGCTTATTTAGCTTATTCTGGAAATCCCAATACAAGGCATTGGTCATCCTCTGATGAGGGTTATTGATGACAATGGAAAAATCAACTCTGGGAATAACTGTTTGTCATCACACAGAGTGTGGAGACCAGGAAAGTTATAGCTCAGCAATGCAATTTCTTTAAAAACCCAAGGGGTTCACCTCCTAACCCTCCTCCACAGCACCTCTTACTTCTGCTACTGTGGGGAACCAGTCATTTACATATGAGCCTTTGTAGGACAGTCCAAACCATAACTAGGGGGGAAGCAGGGTTCTGTGGATTAGTTTTGTAATTTTCTTCAATCAGTAGTCTCCAGTCTCCAACTGTGAATTACTGCCACTCATTTGGGGATAAGCTTTCCCCACCTCTCCCCAGGGAGTGCTACATTTTGAGTCTTCATACCCCGGGTGACTGCAGATGCATCTATGCCCAAAGTCATCATACCATATGGAGATCCTTATATTGTATTGTATCTTGTTGTTATTGACTCTCCAAAGACACTGCATGAAAGAAAACATCATTCTTTATTTTCCCTTAGGCTTCCAGCTGGTACTTAGTAGATTGAGGAAAAGAGAGTATGTCTTTTGAGAGCAATATGAGGATTTGGAGTGTGATCTGAGTATCAAATGACCGATATCTGCTGCTTATGCCCACGGTCATGTAAGGATGCAACTACCAGTCGCCTGCATAGCTATTTTACTTTGGTGCCTTTCAGCCACCTTGAACACAGAGACCACTAGATACTTGGGGACACCCAGTAATTGAGTTACTGACTCTTCCCCAAGTAACTCAGAAGAAACATAGTGGGAAAGCTATCATCCTAGGGTGCAATATTTATTTCTGTTGCATTTTATTTGGATGTGTTCTGAATTTTGATTTGCTTTTTTAAAAAATGCAAACAAAGCTAGAATCATATGGCAAGAAAAATGCAAATAGAAAATAAAGCATAGAGAGATGCTGTCTGAGGAACAGTGCCGTCTGGGGAACAGTGCCGTCTGGGGAACAGTGCCGTCTGAGGAGTCTGAGGATGCAGTCTGAGGAGAGGGTCACTTTAGTCTGAGCATTGGAAGAGGTGAGAACTCTCCAGTGGGGCTGCTTTGCTTCTCTGATCTTCAGCTTGAACCCCCCCCCATAAAAAACAAGAAAAAGAAAAAAGGCATAAAGTATGCTGAGTATTAAAAATATATATAAGCTAGGCAGTGATGGTATATACCTTTACTCCCAGCACTCGGGAGGCAGAGGGAGGTGGACCTCTGTGAGTTCAAGGCCAGCCTATTTTACAGAGTGAGTTCCAGGACAGTCAGAGCTGTTACAGAGAAACCCTGTCTCGAAAAACAAAACAAAAAAAACACCCCACCAAAAAAATATTGCTTGCTTGCATGCGCGCGTGCGTATGTATGTATGCATGTAAGTATGTGTGCAGGCCAGATTGGATTCCGTGCTCTGGAGTTACAGGTGTTTGTGAGCTACCTAATGTGGGTGCTGAGAACTGGATTTGTGTCCTAAGCAACGCCAGTGGATACCTTAACCAATGAGCCATGTCTTCGGCCCAATGACTTTTTGAAAAAAAAAAATCTTTTGTGAGAAAATTGTCTTACATTATCCATAAGCCTCATTATTGCAAAAACTAAAATGACAGCCTATTTTGTAAAACGAAAGTTGTAAAAGTCAACACCTATGCTTAAAGTGCCCGAAATCAAATGTCAGCACTTATACTGCTAAAAACTCATCAAGGAGAAAAGAGGAAACCCTAATGCGTATGCACAAAAATCTTCCTTAGTCAACAGATACTGGACTGTGATTCATAACCAAGAAGAAACGTCCAAGAAGGGATTGATACCCAAGAAATAAACTTTCTTTACCCAATTGCAAAGTTTATCAGCGAAAGTTAGACCCTCGTCCTTCCTGGAGGGGCTGAACTTGATTGCTCTAATTTTCCTCTGTAATCAAGTACAGGCCTTTTCTTTCAGTGCCTTTCAAAGCCGCTCTTTATTCTCTTTCTCCGAGTTTAAAGGATTCCTCAGCCTCTCTTGCCATTGGCCCCTCCTCGCGCTTACTTGATCCTTTCCCCTCCCCCATTTCCTAAACAGGCCTAATCTGTTCCCCCTTTTCTCAGACTGGCTGGGTGCCCCTCCACCCGCGCTTCCCTTCCTCCTCCTCCTCCTCCTCGCGGGCTCTTTCTTCCCTCTCCCCTCCCCCAGCATGCCTCCCGGCGTGCTTCCCTTCCCCCCGCCTCTCGGCCCCGCACTCTCCCCTCCCCCGCCTGCTGCCTTGTGACACATCCTGGGCCCTCCCGGAGGCCGTAGCCGCGGCTGGGCGGCACTGCTGGCCACCCCCTCCTCCCGAGCCGCAACCCAGCTCAACCTGCGGCGGCCGCGGCCCTGCTGCTGCTGCAGTCATGGCTGCTGACGGGGTGGACGAACGTTCGCCTCTGCTGTCAGCATCCCACTCGGGAAATGTCACTCCCACAGCCCCGCCGTACTTGCAGGACGGCAGCCCAAAAGGTAAGGCCGGCGTCTTAGACCGTTCCGCTTCTCACCGACACGTCTGGAAGGAGGAATGCCGGGGAGCTCTAGCGCGGAGGCGGAGGAGAGCCTCTCTCTTGGGCCGGGGGAGAAGGATGCTGGCTGCTGCCTTCCCAGGCGGTGCCTGCCCGCCCGAGAGCCTCGCGGCAGGGCTTCGCTGCTGCTGCTGGTGTGGAGAGTGTGTGCTTGAGCACTCCTTACCCGGGTTTAGGATCTGACGTGAATTTCCCAAGCTCCGTGCTGTTGTTTCCCAAGCTAAGTGTAGCTGGGCGGTGGTGCAGATCTCCCAGTCATTCACAAGTGCCCCGGGTGGCTGAAAAAACTCGGGGTACTGCTCACCTTGGCATCTGTCCTTGAGAGGGCTTCAGCACTGGACATCTTACACTCACCCCGGAGCCCAGTTCAAGCAGGAAGTGCCGAACCAGGAGGGACAGAGTTAATCAATAGTCCTAATATGTCTGAAATCCCTAAGCTTTGGGTAATAAGAGTGTGTCACAGCTTCGGTGGTGAATCAAGAACCTGCAGATAGAAGGGAAGGAGGAATATTTTTTATGCCAATCTAGGCGAGGTTGAAATTAACTTCTAAAAAGTTACCCAAGTTCATACTGTATATATTTTTAATTTTTGTTTTCAGTGTAGAATAAAAAGGAATTTTGGTAAATGGCGTGGTGAAGGAAAAGAAGTCTGTTTACCAAAGGATTCGATTTATTTAGAGATCTGTCTTTGTTTAATGTTTTTTTGGGTGATTACTACAGTAGTCTGGAAGGCAAGCCTTGCAGAGAAATGTGGCACGTGCAAACCTAGCTTACTTCGCCTTTCCCTTTTGGCTGCCTGTGAATGAAGTTTAAAAACCCAAGGAGGCAAAAGTTAATGCTTTGGAAAATAGAAGCAGGTCACATGTCTTGTAACGCAACTTTCCCTAAGTTCATGTCTGAAACTAGAAAAGGTGGAAGTTGTCTGGCGTTTTGTTACTGGAAAGTCAGCCATATGGATTTTAGTCCACCTATAAACAGAAGCAGGACAAAGGAAAACTATGGTTAGCTGGGATAATTCCGTGTGATTGACCGCTTGAGAGGAGGAAAGGGGCAAAGTCCACCAGAGCTCACCCACAGAAAACCTACAGTTATACTTGATGGTCAGAATTCACCAGGCATCAGGTTGGGCGATTTCCCTTAGGGGCCCAGTTCAATATTAATATTGTTATATCTAATATTTATTCACTGGTTCTGTAATGAATGTTTCAATTTAACTTAGTTGTTTAAGACAAAGTATTTGACAATCTATTAAGGGACTGAGTTTGAACTTAAATGACTGATGGAGAACATGTTTCCATGCTCTGTCATGGAGCTGTCTTTTCCTACTTTTTATCAGTTTGCAGTTAAAGCAAACACGTGGTTGATAGTCATGTTCACGGGCCTGCATAGACCTCATTGTTCTCTATAGATTTCCTTAATTTGATCAGATTTCTCAAACTTCAAAGATGCAGTACTTACAAATCGGCCACTGAAAAGAAGTAATTTCACTCTAAAGAACTTTGAAACAACCACCTTTAAGGGTGTGTTTAATCAAAAAGCTCATTCAGCCTTATAGTAGAATAGTTTTTTCCATACTGATAAAGGAGACAGGTGAGATATTTAAAACACTAATTTCATATGGAGTAATGCCTATGAAGCAAGAAACATAACTGAGAAATAAAGTCATTTGATTTCCATGTTGACAGTACTTTTTCTTGATTAATAACAAATAATTATTTGAGTAATGCACACGTTCTAAATCTCGAACACCATCAGCATTCATTCATTGATCAACTTTATGGGGTACCATAGTGTGTCACATGCTAACCCTCTTTGAGTAGGCCTGCCCAGAACTGTGCCTTCGCAGAGCTCATATAGTGGGAGAAAGAATAAATAAACTTTTGGCTGAATCAATTCAGATTTTTAAGACTTATCACTGGATTCTGTTAATAGTCAAAAACAGTAACATTTTTAGTTGGAATCCAGAGACTAGAAATTGGATACACAGTTTGATGATTAACTTTAGTTTATGATACCATTTATAATTATTCAGGCTATGCGTGTGTGTGTGTGTGTGTGTGTGTGTGTGTGTGTGTGTGTGTTTGTTTATGCATGTAGGTACTACCGGTCTTCATCATACGTCTCTAATACTCTACACTTCAGTTTTTGAGACAGCCCATTGACTAAGCTAGACTAGACGGCTAATAAAGGCCGCAAGTCCTCTTGCCTCTGACTCCTCATGACTGGGCTTCCAATGTGCAGCGGCACACCCAGCTGCATATGTGGGACCCAGGAATCCAGCTGCAGGTCCCCAAGCTTTCATAGCATACCGTGTACCAGTTTTACTGTCTTCACATCCCAATAACTCAGACGTTTAGTAGGCTAAGAAGAAGAAAATGGAGAGGAAGAAGCCTTAACAACAATATTTTCTAATTTTTAATTCATTGCTTTGTGTCACAGCCCTCACACCCTCCCTCGCCCCCAGACTTCTAGATAAGGATTCTCTGTAGCTTTGGAGCCTGTCCTAGCACTCACTCTGTAGACCAGGCTGGCTTCGAATTCACAGAGATCTGCTTGTGTCTGCCTCCCAGATACTGGGATTAAAGGCGTTAGCCACCACTGCCTGGCATGTCACCTCCTTTGTAGAGACTTGTTTTTTATTTTATGTGTACATGTGTGTGTTGGACTGCATGTGTGTGCACCATGTCTGTACAAGTGGTTGAGGATGCCAGAAGAGACCTTCGGATGCCCTAGAACTGGAGCTGCAGTTGGTTGGGAGCACTGTGAGTGGTGGTAACCACTTTGGATCCCCTGCAAGAGCAGTGTGTGCTCTTACCATGCGGGCCACCTCCTCAGCTCCTCTCTTCGTCACTTTCTAAGCAACAGAAACTTTAGTTCCTATCTCCTGTGAAGAAATAGTGCACTTGGGGTTGCAAGTTATGGTGTGTTTATTTCTAGGTCGGCTATTGGTAATGGAGTGGAGGGCTTTTAACATTGGTCTTTAAATTTTGCCCAAGAAGAATCACATGTAGTCCTTGGAGTACAAAGCTAGTGGTTTCCACTGTCCTTTCTGAATAGCTACAGAATGCGACTTCTCTCCCGACTACAGTGCTCCATGGTATATATTGGCCAGCTTTTGTTCAGGCATGGAAATTAAAATCAAAGACAGCTTTGCTCTCATTTGAAAGGAAAGTAGGAAAAAAAAAAACCAAAAACCAAAAACCACCACAAACTTGAATAGTCTGGATAGATTGATTGATTCTCTTACAGATCTGCTAGTATTTTAGATAATATATGGGAGAATGCCATAACTTTCATATTCACATCCTAGTTTGATTCTCTGTTGATGTAGTAAAACACCATGACCAAAAGACATTTGGGAGGAAGGGTTTATTCTAGCTTACAAGTTACAGCTTGAGGTAGGAATCTGGAGGCAGACAGATCTGAAGCAGAGGCTGTGGAGGAATGTACTCATTGGCTCATCTTTCATGGCTTGCCCAGCTTGCTTCCTTGTATGTCCTAGAAGCACCTGCTGAAAGATGACTCTGCTGCAGTGGGCTGCTACTTCCCATACCAATCACTAATTGGGAACATGTCTGACAGACACGTCCACAGTCCAGTTTTGGGGACACAGTTCCTCAGCTTACGTTCCCTCTACCCGGTCAAGCTAACAAAACGGAATCGGCTCACTTTGTAAAATCTGTGAAAATGTTTTAAATTCCAGGTTGTCTAATTGTGCACAGAATTGACAATGGGAATATGGCTTATGACTTGAGTGTAATTCACAAAGGGAGAAGATACTTGGTTACCTACAGAGGGACAAGTCTCGGTTTGTTTCTTTCCTTTATTCATCAATGAATCCTGGCATGCTAGCCAAGCTGTGTCAGGAAAGGGAAAACCGACTAGTTTCCTTTTCTCTTATGACGTAATGGGGGATAAATTGCACAATTACTCAGAAACATGAAATGCAAAGGAAAGGGGATATGGACCATGTTAGAAGCATGTCTAGTGCCTGAACCACATGCACTATGATTTAGTCTGGTTAAGGGAGACTTTCCTGAACCTTGAATTGGGATCTAAAGGTGGAACAGGGATTACCTAGATGAAAAGGGGACTAGATCGTAGGCAAAGAAAGTAGTATTGAGAAAAAACTTTAGCAGAATGGGATAGGGCAAGTCCAAGTGGGGGAAGGAAGTTCAATGTTGTAAACTAGAGATATAATAAGGCACATGCTGTAAAATGAGATTACAGGTAGGTGTGGTTGATATTTTCCATAGACTCTCTCTTCTCCCTGTGTTTTCAGACATTCAAGTCCTGTAGAGTCTCTGTTTCAATGTGGGCTAAGTCTGTGACTTGTGTTTGACCTCCAGAATAAGGTAAAAGATGTACTGAATGAATTTAGATGCTAAATGAGAAGAGATTATACAGTTTTTGCTTTTGATATTGCAGAAGTCCACCATGGAGAAAAGTAACTTGTCATGTAAGAAATGGGATATCTGGAGACAGTCATGGTTAGAGAAAGTCAGAACAAATCATGCAGAAAGGCTACATAGAAGAAAGATGTCTGACCAGCCCTTAGGCATGTAAATGTCTTGGATACAACACAGAGATGAGTCTTCAAATGACACCAATCGAAAACAAATTATGACTATATCAACATAAAAGAGTGTAGATGACAACAACCCAACTGATTCTGGACAGGTCATAGGGTTGTCAGCTAATCTTAAATTTGTAAGATACCATAATTTTGAGTGATTCCTTCTGCTTCATCAGTGGACCCTGCAATGAATGGGAGTTGATTCCAGAGCACTATAGGCCATTTGAAAGAAATTTTGTTTAAACAAAAAACTGCTGTGTCAGATCATTATTTTAATTAATTAATTAATTAATTAATTAATTAATTAATTAATTAATTTTTGGCATTTCAAGCCAGGGTTTCTCTGTGTAGCTTTGGAGCCCATCCTG